TTCTGGGGATATACATTGATTTAATCTTTTTTGGAAGGCAATAGGACTTCATGTTTTATAGTTTTAAATATGTGCAAACTTTGATCCAGCACCCTATCTCTAGGAATTTATCTAGTTTTTTTGGTGAACATATACAAATAATTATGAAATGTCTGTTGAAAGGTTGTTAATAATGGTAAATTTTAATACCAGGCAGTCATTTTAAAGTGATGYTATACGAGATTTTAATGACATGAAAAGGATTTTTAATGTTGTTGTTGTTTTTCTTTATTTTACACATTTTAATTAAATGGATATTTTGTGATTAAGAAAACTTGTAACATAGGTTTCTGTAGTGCTAACAATTGCTTTTTATAATTGGCTTGGTCTCTCAGCACCAGCAACTCCATGGAAGTCCATCTGGTGGCATCACTGTGTTTTTTTTTGTTTGTTTGTTTTTATTTAAAAAATATTTTTTCATTTGTTCTTTTTAGTTATATATGACTGCAGAATGTATTTCGACATATYATTCATTCATGTTGTTAACTGAGGAAAACAGATGACCAATAGTATATAATCATACAGAATGCAATTTCATTTTTATAAAAAGGGTATATGTGTATATGTAAAACACATGATATGTATGTGTGTGTTTATCAGATAAAAAGTTAACCCTGCTTATATTGATAGTAGGATTATGGATAGCTTTTTATTTATTTGTGCTTTTCTATGTATTATTTAATGAATTTATCATTTATTTTTTTTGTACCAGTGATCGAACCCAGGGGCACTTAACCACTGAGTCACATTCCCAGCTCTTCTTATCTATTTATTTATTTATTTTTGATACTGGCGATTGAACTCAGGAACTCTTGACCACTGAGCCATTATGCCGGACTCATTTAATATTTTTGTAAACAGAAAGCCCACAAATATTGTCATTTAAAAAAATTAGAATTTTCCCAGTTCAAGTTACCTACCTAGACACACCTCAAGGGAAGTGCTTCCTTCCCGGGGGGCTGCAGCTGCAGCTGTTCCTGCTAGGAAGGCTGCTAAAAACAGATGGTAATCATACCAGCTTCCATTCTTGCTTGTTGTTGCTGCCAAGTAGCAGGATTGAAGAGGAAAGGAAATAATATGCATTTACTCAGTATGACTAAATGCCAGACTTTGGTCTGGATGCTTTATCTGTATTTCATTTTCACACTGCCACCATATAGCCTCATTAGATAACTGCAAGTTCTGGTTAGCAGGCAACAGATACCACACCTGAAGCAGAGGGCTTGGACTTCGGAAGTTTCATGTTCTTGTCCCCAGCTGCAGTGGTGATTTTTCTGCCCTTCCCCTGCCTACCGGTGAAACAGCATGTTGGTCTTAGTCTTTATGGCAAAACAGAAGAAAACCAGGATTTATTTTACTGAAGTCACAAATGTCTGATCAATTGTGTTCCCCTCATGGTTTAGCCTACTTCACACAATACACTAAATATGGAGTGAAAGCACAGGTGTGGGCAGCCAGCAGAGTGAAAGCACCTCCTGAGAAAGGAAGGTTTTGACTTTTCCTAACTGAGGTCTTGAGGTAGTCTGGTATGCCAGTGATTGTCAATGGCACAGGGGAGGGAGGCAAGCAGCAGCATCTGGAATGCTCTTTTTTATGTTTTCATAAAATTTAAAACATATGCAAAAGTAGAAAAATGGATGAATCCCATATCTCACCCAGCCTCAAAAATTATCTGCTCTTAACAGTTTTGTTTCATCCACATTCACACTCTTCCCCACCAAAGAATTGTATGTGCATGGTGCTAGGGATTGAACCCAGGGTCTCATGTATGCTGTGCAAGCACTCTACTACTAAGCTATATCTCAGCCCCCAAAGTGACTATTTTGAAATACATAGTATGTCTTTTCAAATTGTAGCCTCCTTCTGTTGTTTTTTTTTAATAACATGTGCAAACTTGGAAATGTTCTCTGCTTGTACTATTCATGGCAAGAGTTGTTTGATACTTTCCTTTCATAATACAGATATGCCTCGTATGTGTGAACCATGATAGATTGGGAGGAATCCTAACATTGCTCCTGATTTTTCTGCTGTTTTCTGATGATCTGTGAAAATTTGTGAATAGAGAGACCTATAAACCCATGATAAATGTGAACTAGTAAGAAGTCAGTGTGTTAGATCTTCGCCACTGTGACAAATACATGAGGAAACAACTTAGATGAGGAAAGATTTTGGCTCATCATTTCAGGCCATGATTGGCTGGCTCCATTGCTTTGGCCTGAGGTGAGGCAGAATTTCATGGTAAAAGGATGTGGTGGAGAAAAGCTATTCAGTAGTGGCACCCAGGAAGGAGATAGAGAGAGAGAGAGAGGGAGAGAACAGGGACAAGATAACAGTCCGTGGGGGCATGCCCGAGGACTTACTCTTTTACTAGGTCCCACCTCTTACACTTKCCATGACTTCCCAATAGTCCATTCAGCTATCAATGGATTAACCTATTGATGAGGCCAGAGCCCCATTGATCCAGTTATTTCCAAAAGTCCCACTTCTAAACTTTGCTGCATTGGGGACCAAGACTTGAACACATGAATCTTTGGGGGACACTTTGTATCTCAAACCATAACAGTAAGGTGACMGAAAACAAAACCCATTCATTAATTATTATTATTTTTATTTATTCAAGCATTCATTTATTCCTGCATACACTGATTGTGCATAGCAATCCTTATCCATTCTGTGTGCTTTTTGTTCTTCCTCTGGCTCTTGCTTCTTTTCTTTGGACTCTGAGAAAGTCTTCACCTTTAAGTGGTCTTTATACCTGAGGAGAGGCATGAACTTATGCTGTTGTTTGTAGGTCTATATTTATTGGTTTCCTGAAAGAAGATCAGAGAACCTCAACTGCAAAGTAGCACTTATTTGGATTCTCAAAGCTTCCTCCTTACTGTAAAATTCCCTAATTCATCCAGACTGGGTACTCTTCCTTCAATATTTCCTCTGCCTTTTGCACCTTGCTAAGGGGTAGTAAGACTGAACCTAATTTTGTATATTATTTTATATTCTTTTTCTTAAGGAGTCCTCCCCCTCCCTGCAACTGTATAAGATTTAGGTTCCAGTAAATCTGGAYCCATCCCTTCATATACCTTCAAAACAGTAAATATCATATTTTCCTCTGATTATTTATTCATGGTTTTTGGATTTCCAGACCTAGCATTGTGTTTGCCACATAGTAACTGCTCAATAAATATGCAATACAAGTTTTCAGAAATTTTATCTGTAGGTCTTTCTATGTCATTGGGCATTTATTATTAGTGACATTAAGAATTCAAAGTAAGGCCAGGCCTGGTGGAGCACACCTGTAATCCCAGCAGCTCAGGAGGCTGAGGCAGGAGGATTTAGAGTTCAAATCCAGCTTCAGCAACAGCAAAGCGCTAAGCAACCCAGTGAAACCCTGTCTCTAAATAAAATACAAAATAGGGCTAGGGTTGTGGCTCAGTGGCCGAAAGCCTGAGTTCAATTCCTAGTACCAAAAAAAAAAAAAAAAAAAAAAAAAAAAAAAAAAAAAAAAAAAAAAAAAAAAAAAAAAAAAAAAAAAAAAAAAAAAATTCAAATTAAGGCATACAAGTCTACTAAAAGGAAGTTGATTGGCCCATCCCAAGATATTACATCTGTCCTTCAGCAACTTTTCTTAATCCAGGTTTCCTTTCCTTTGCATACAGGACAGAAATTTGCCCTTGCTTCACTAGGATAAGCAGATTGTCCCACAGACACATAAAATTGGCAGGAATCATAGAGTCAGTGCCTACTTGAGGTTAGCTCTCCTAAGATATCTTTTTTTTTTTTCCAAGAAGGATAACATTTTAATCCAACAGTACATGTTTATTGTTGAAAACATGGAAAGAGAATAAACACTATAAGCCCACCACCCAGAGAAATAATGTACAGCAATATATATATGTATATATATGTATATATATATATACATATATATACATATATATATGACTGTATCAAATTTTTTTTATAACTTTATTTATTTATTTATTTATATGTGGTGCTGAGGATTAAATCCAGGGCCTTGCACATGCGAGGCGAGCACTCTACCGCTGAGCCATAACTTCAGCCTCTCCATCCAGAGGTGGTCTGCCAATGAACTCTATCCCGGCACTTTTTATTTTTTTGAGACAGGGTCTCACTAAGTTTGCCCAGGTTGGCTGCAAATTTGGGATCCTCTTTTCTCAGTCTCCCCACTCGCTGGAATTACAGGCATGCTTCACTGCCACCGCGCCAGTCTTCAATTTTTTTTTAAAAAAGAACTCATTTACACACATAGTATAATGTGAAAGAACATCCTCCATATTTCCAGAGACTGGGGAGGGTAAGTCAGGTTTGAGGCCAGTCTCAGCAACTTAGCAAGACCATTCCAAAAAAAAAAAAAAAAAAAAAATGGCCAGGCGTGTGGCTCAGCAGTGAAGCGCCCCTGGGTTCAATCTCCATCACTACCAAAACAAAAAACAAAACACAGTAAAGTATCTTGTTCTAGTGCACAAAGACTGAAGTTATTTATACCTAAGTAATTATAATTCTGTAATGTGTCACACAAATGCAATATAATGCGCATAGATTTAATATAAACTACAAATGCCGAGGACAATTGCAAAATATCCTTTTATTTATAATGAGGCGACTCCACTTCCACGCACCGCTCCAGGGGGCACTGAAGGGGAATATCAAGGAAGGATCAAGCTGAGATCTTCCAGCTAGATTATTTCACCTCTAAACGTTGTGAAGTTGAGGAAGGTTCACTTGACTGGTTTAGATTAAAAAAAAAAAAAAATTCATTTCGTCAAGGAAAAAAGCGGCGGGAAGCGACCAAACGTTTGAATGCAGCTAAGGAGGAAACCGCGTCAGCTCAGTTTTCCAATCCCGGAACGCCGCGGAAGCCCCGCCCGGGGCGACGCGGGGCCTGCTGGGAGCTGTAGTGTGGCCCGCGCTGGCGCGCCGCGCCCGGGGCCCCGCCAGACTGCGTTTCCCGGCAGGCCGCGCGCGGAGGCTGCCGGCGGGACTGGAGTGCCGCGGTGGCTGTGAGAAAGTGACCCGTCGGCGTAGGTTCCCGTGTTAGCGATGGCTTCCTTCGTGACGGAGGTTTTGGCTCATTCGGGGAGCCTGGAGAAGGAGGATCTCGGCACCCGGATCAGCCGCCTGACCCGGAGGGTGGAGGAGATCAAGGTGAGTGAGGGCTGGCGCCTTCTGACCCGAAAGGGGCGCCGGGTGGATGTGTAGGGACTCTCTAGGAGCCGGACAGACAGCAGGTGTCTCCGAAGTGGGGCCAACCGGGGAGGTCCGGATGGGGGAGTTGCGTGGGAGGAGAGGCGTGTGGGCTGGGGAGAGCGCTCCGACCGGAGTCCAGGGGCGGCCCGGCGTAGAGGAGGACTGGGACTGCGGGAGAGAGGGGTGGTGTTTGGCGAGGGTCAGGGAGTGGTTAGGCTGGGGACGGGTGCACCCGGGGGAAGGAGCTGGGGAAGACCAGCACAGCGGGAGGTGGAGCTGGAAGCGCTGAGAGGGAGCGTCTGAGAGGTACAGAGGACTAGACCAGTCACCCATCTGTGAGTGTTACATCTCCTCCACCCAGTCTTCCATTTGTGGGTGGAAATAATAGCTTTGGGAGGATTGCGTCGTCCTCCTCCCTGAAATTTCTTTTTKAACTCTGAATATGTTTTTAAAACTATTCTTCATCCCCCAGTACTTGAGGCCGTGCTGAAGGTTATGCCATTATTATACATGGACCTGCCACTTCTGGCCACACAGTTTCATTTTGTACTGATATTACCTTGCCAGTATTGGTCCACATCTTCAGTGACTTTCATTAAAACTTTTATGTACCTGCTTAAGTCTAGACTAAGGGAACAAGTTCGGCACACACCACTAAGTCAAAAGATAGATCGCTTCTTAACAACTCTTGATCATACAAAAGTGGTTTCTGAAATTTTAAGTATACCTATCACTGACATTTCCATTACATGATTTTAGGGGTTTTCACCACTGTTTAATGTTATGGAAAGGGCCTATTTAAGCTACCTTATGACACTCAAGACTCCTACCTTTCTAGACCTAAGCTACATTTCCTTTGACTAGTTTCCTTTATCATCTTAAATCTTAAACCAATTGAAATTAATTTCTATGGTCCATTCAGGTCCAATTTGTTTTTTCTAGTTCCCAGATTTTGCTCATATTATTTACTTCTATCTTTCTGCCATTTTTCAATGTATTTCTACCCATTTTTAATTTTCCATCTCAAATTAATCTCCTGCATTAAAAATAACCTCATTTTATCCCAGAGGTGATTTTTCTCATTTGTTTTTCTGGAGGATTTTGTGACTATTACGTTTCAGTCATTTTTTTTTTTTTTTTGGTTACTGCAGTGTATAGAATCTTTCCTAGCAAAAAGGAATTTGTTAAAAGCATATTTATTTTTGTATTGTCCAAAGCATTAAATAATTCAATGCAGGGTAGATTGTTTATAAAGATAATCTCAATTAAAGGAGATAATGAAGCTCATTATTTTGGGTTTTGAGAGTAGGCCTTAAAATTTCATAGGCTAGAAGATAAAAATAGATTGAGATATACATATAATTGATTTCATTTATCCGTTTACTTTTCTATTAGATATCTGATTAAAATTGGTGGATACAGTCTGATATATTCAATATGAGAACTTCTGGCTTCACCTTTCTTTTTTCCAGCATTTATACAATTTTTGGGCACTGTTGATGTTTGGTAATGTATGGGCCACATAAAGGTGGGAGAAATGTGTTTTTAAAAGAAGCTCATTAGCTTGGAGGGAAGGTGAGTGCTGTGAGTTAACTGTTAAGAAAACTCCCACATGCAAGATGACTCTTAGAAAATGAGCTATGTATTGTTAGCAGAGTTAGTTCCCTACTCATCTCACTGTTTATGATTTTTTTCAAATATTATAGGGTGAGGTATGCAATATGATCAGCAAGAAGTACAGTGAATTTCTGCCTAGTATGCAGAGTGCACAGGACCTTGTTGCCCAGGTGGATAAACTATCTGATGATATTGACCTGCTGAAATCCAGAATAGAGAGTGAGGTAAGAATAGTTTGTTTTTAGCAATTTTGGGGGGACCCTGGGGATTGAACTCAGGGATGCTTAACCACTGAGCCACATTCCCAGCTCTGTTTTGTATTTTTTGTATTGAGATGGAGTCTCAGTGAGTTGCTTAGTGCCTCGCTGTTGCTGAGGCTAGCTGAGGCTAGTTTTAAGTGCGAGATTCTCCTGCCTCAGCCGCTGGTGAGGCTGGAGGAATCACAAGCATGAACCACTGTGCCTATGTTTTATCAATTTTTAAAAATTTTTGCAGTATTGGGGATTGAACTCTGGGCCTTGCACGTGCTAGGCAGGTGCTCTACCATTGAACCATATATCTCTACTTTCCTAGAATAGTTTTGTATTTTTTGGGTAGGTTTATAAGGAGGCAGTTCCGCTTCCTGATTTCTAAGACAACTTAGTTCCACACAACTTTTCTTCCTTCCTACCATCCCTCTCTTCTTGCCCCCTTCCTTTCTTCCATCCTTCCTTCCTGTACTGGGGATTGAACCCAGGTATGCTTTACTATTGAGTTACATAGCCAGCCCTTTTTATTGCTTATTTTGAGGTGGGGTCCCACTAAGTTGCTTAGGACCTCACTCAGTTGCTGAGGCTGGCCTTGAACTTGTGATCCTCCTATGTCAGCCTCCTGAGTCAGTAGGAATACAGGTGTGTGTCACGTGCCTGGCTTTATACAGCTTTTCAAGACATCACTTTCCTTATTGGTAAATGGAAGTTAAACCAAATGATTATAGGCGAATTGAAACATTTTGTAAAATAATAAACTTTTTTTTTTTTTTTGTATTGGGAGTTGAATACAGGTGTGCTTAACCACTGAGCCATATCCACAGCCCTATCTGTCATCTATTTATTTATTTATTTTTCAAGGGAGCCATCTTATTTTATTGATTCCCCCCGCCCCCCACCAATTTCTAAACTCTTCAGGTAATTGAGCTCTCGGGTTCATGGCTCTGGAACATGCTGTGAACATTGTATTAACTCCCATGATGAACCTGATTTTTTAAAAATTTTTTTTTTAGTTGTCAATGGACGTTTAATTTATTTACTTATGTGGTGCTGAGAATTGAACCCAGTGCCTCACACATAGTAGGTAAGCACTCTATCACTGAGCCACAACCTTAGCCCCAGTGAACCTGATTTTTACTATTTTGCTTTCGTTGAAATGTTACCCTCTGTACCCCTGTCCCCTGTTGCTAGTAATTCTCCTCTGTGGTTGAATTCTACTGTAGAGATGTTACGGTTTCAGACGTCTTAGTCCATAGACAGCCAGCTCCATACTTTTGGGCCCAAGGTGAGGTAGAACATCAAGGTAGAAGGGCGCGGCAAAGGAAGGAAGCTCAGGACATGACAATCAGAAAGTAGAGAGAACTTATTTATTTATTTATTTTGAGACAGAGTCTCACAAATTGCTTCGGGCCTTGCTAAGTTGCTGAGGTTGGCCTCTAGCTTGTGGTCCCCTGCTTTAGTCTCCCAAGCTGCTGGGATTATAGGTGTGCGCCACCACAGCCAGCACGTGCATCTTTTTTTTTTTTTTTTTTTTTTTGTAGTTGTTGTAAATGGACAGAATGCCTTTATTTTATTTGTTTATTTTTATGTGGTGCTGAGGATTGAACTCAGAGCCTCACACATGTTAGGGAAGCCCTCTTCCCTGAGATACAGCCAGCCCCACATGTGTGTTTTATTTTTAATTTTTTTTTTTTTTTTAAGAGGGGGCAGTGGGGAGAGAGAATTTTAATATTTATTTTTTTAGTTTTCGGCGGACACAACATCTTTGTTTGTATGTGGTACTAAGGATCGAACCCGGGCCGCACGCATGCCAGGCGAGCGTGCTACCACTTGAGCCTCATCCCCAGCCCACATGTGTGTTTTAATGGCCAGCATTCTCTTAGATTTGTATCTGGCCTCAACACTTTGAAGCTTCAGCACAATCTTCCTTGTCTTTGGCTGTCTCTTGGAAAGTTGGTTTGGTTTGCCTACCATAGTCACTCTACTTGCTGCCATCAAGCTACTTTCCTTGAGCAAACAGGATATTTGCCCTTCTTGTACAGTATCAATTTGTGGGCCTAGTGCTTAAAATAATTCTTATGTAGAGTCTGGCAGATTTTAGAAATGTTTACCATGTTTGCTGGGGTCCTGTCATCATTCTAGTAAGCAGGAGTAAATAAGCAGGCCAATTTGGAAACAAATATCTGCTTTAACAATGAATTCCTCTATTATGTATGATTATAATGCATCAATAAAAATAATAATTATAAAACTTTTTATTTATTTATTTATTTATTTTTAAGAGAGAGTGAGAGAGGGGAGAGAGAGAGAGAGAATTTTTAATATTTATTTTTTAGTTCTCGGCGGACACAACATCTTTGTTGGTATGTGGTGCTGAGGATCGAACCCGGGTCGCACGCATGCCAGCGAGCGCACTACCGCTTGAGCCACATCCTCAGCCCTATAAAACTTTTTAAAGTATACTTTTAAAAGTATTTATTTGCTCATCTATTATCTCACCAGGATTTTTTTCCCTGCAGTTTTCTTTTAGAAACAATAAGCATTATAGCTGGGTGCAGTGTTGCACACCTGTAATCACATTAGCTCTGGAGGCTGAGGCAGAAGGATTGCAATTCAAAGCCAGCCTTAACAACTTAAGAGTTCCTAAGGAACTTAGCGAGACCCTGTCTCAAATAGAAATTAAAAAGGCTGGGAATGTGGCTTAGTGTTTAAGTGCCCCTGGGTTCAATCCCAGTACCTAAATAAATTAATAAATAAAATACCATTTGGAAGAAAATATGCTGATACTAGATATTTAAACAAAATCTAACCTTAAGTGTCTATAAAATTATTTCTCAGGGATCTTGATACCAAAATCATGATGTTGAGGTATTTTCTAAGTCTTTACCATCAAGAAGAAACAGGACACTGTTCCCTGTGTGATAGTTATTAAAGAACAAATGTTTTCTTCTAAAGTTCTATGTAGAACTTGACTCACAAATGAGAAAACTGTTGGTTACATAGAAAGTCTGTTAGAAGCCCTAACAATCACTCATGATCATTTTAATCATCCTAATTAGTGTTTTTAATAAAAATAAATCAGGGCACAGTGGCTGACACCCGTAATCCCCGTGACTCAGGAGGCCTAGTCAGGAGGATTGCAGTTTGAAGCTAACCTTTGCAACTTAGTGAGAACCTGTCTTATAATAATATAAAAAAGTGGTAAAGCACCCCTGGATTCAATCACCAGCACTGCTTACCCCAGATCTGTTACTTTACAACCATGGCACATTTGAAAGAATATTCCCAGAGTGTATTTGTACTTCATTGATTATTTGTTCAGTGAGTCAGTAATGCAATGTTAGACCATGCTGTTAGAAGTGAAGTATCTTAGGCATGGTGGTGGACATCTGTAATCCCAGTGACGTGGAAGACTAAGGCAGTAAGATTACAAGTTTGAGGCCAGTCTCAGTGTCTTAGATCTTGTCCCAAAAAGGGTTGAGGATGTAACGGCCCAGCAGTTCAACTGCCCCTCTCAACCCCTAATACCAAAAAGAGAAAAAAGATGGAGTGACTAAAAGAAGACATTAATGGGGGCTCTGTGTACCTTTTGTGGGCAGATTATAGCTGGTGAAATGTGTTAATTTCTGATTGTTGTAGTTTGAAAGATGGTTGGTCTGGATGAGAAGGTTCTGAACACTACCATTGAAGAACAATGAAAGAAGCAAGAAACTGAAGATAGTAAGCCTTAGGAAGAGACATTTTCAATATTTAAACCCCCATCATATGGGAAAAAGATACATATTTAGGGCTTAAGAAGGGGAATTAAATTTAGTAAGTAAATGTTGCAAAGAAAAATTGTTCAGATATTTGGCATAATTATCAAGTACCTGCAAGGTGTAAGATACTGTGATCATTGCTAATGAGATTGTTTTTATTTCAAAGATAAGTCTCAGATATAGATGAGTAAAATAGTGTAATGCAGTAGTAAATAGGAGTAATCTAGTTAGAGGAGATGTAGCCAAGAATGGCTTCCCGCCCGAAATAGTCTCCAAACCAAGGCCTGAATATTAGGTGGTTAGGCCACAAGGGAAGGCATAAGGAATTTTAGGTAGGCATAAGGAATAACATTACAGAGGTATGGAGGTAGTAAAGAATTGTCACTTTTGAGGACTGCAAATATTCCATATGACTGATGTTTATGAACTGCATTGGAAGGGATGTGAGAAGAGATTAGAAAGGTAAACAAGTACTTTGTATTAGGTTAGTAGTATGGATGGCATTGTCAAAGCCATGGAGGAATTTAAGAAGGGAATAACATTAGATTTGAATTTTAGGAGTCCCATTCAGCATGCAGTTTGAAGAAAGTACTTGAGGGAAATGAGCTTGGGAAATGGAAAAGCAGAGTGTTAGATGCTGTTAAAATAATTCGGGAAAAATGGTTTGATGATCTAAAGTCATTAGTAAGGGAGATGAGAAAAATGGACAAATCTTGGTGACATTTAAGATTTAGGATCTTTGGGATATATTGATATGGCAAGTGAAAGCAAGGTTCAGGGGTTAAGAATAATTGGGGAACTAGCTCATTGATATACCATTCACTGAAATAGAGAATATAGAGAAAGAGTAGGTGTTTGTTGAAGATTTGGGATATTTAAATTGAAGGGACCTGAAGGATGTCCAGATGGACTTGCACAGTTAGTTTGTATTAAGATGAAGGCTAGAGTATTATAAAAAAAATGAAAGAAAGAAAAAAAGACTTTGAAATATAATGACTCAAGATACATTAAAAAAATGATATTAGTTTAGGTTAGCAAACTTATTCTACAGCCTAAAGGTCTGGCTACCCTAGATAGTCTATGCCAACATAGATAATTTTTTATTTTATTTTGAGAGAGATTCTCTCTAGTTTGCTCAGGCTAAATTCAAACTTGTAATCAGCTTGCCTTAATCTCCTGAGCTTCTGGGGTTATAGGTGTGCAATATCATCCCAAAGATTAAAAAAGAAAAAAAAAAAAGAAATCTTTCTAATAGTTAAAACTCTTCAGTTACAGATATCACTTTGGCAACTGGGAATACCTTACTAGTAATTTAAGTGGATGAAATCTGCTGAAAGATAACTGTTTAAGAATAGAAAATCTCATGAGGAAGTTGTGTTGATAGGGTACTTTACCACTGAACTTCATCCTCATTATTTGTATTTTTTATTTTTGAGACAAAGTCTCACTGTGTTGGTTAGGACCTTGCTAAGTTGCTGAGGCTGATCTTGAACTTGCAGTCCTCCTGCCTCAGCCTCCCTAGTTGCTGGGATTATAGGCATGCACCACTGGGATCATGTGGGATGGGTATTCTTACACAGGATAAAGGTTTGGACTAAGTGGACMTCTAAGTTCTCTTTCAATACCTTCTGTGATTTTACTGCAATTGAGACTAGTATTTAAATTTCAACATGAATTATATTGACCTACTAGCTTATTGATTAGCTGTAAAGGTTTTATTTCTTAGGTATGGTATAGCTTAAAAGTTTGTTTTTTAAGCTAGAGAGATTATTTTTATTTTTAAAAATAATTTGCTAATATTATTGATTACAAAATAACTTCTTCCTTGAATGACATCTGCCACTAAAAGTACTTATTTTGTATGTATGAATTAGGTCCGTCGTGATCTTCATGTATCGACTGCTGAATTTTCAGACTTGAAACAACAGTTGGAAAGAGACTCAGTAGTCCTGAGTTTGCTTAAACAGCTACAAGAGGTTGGTAAATTCAGCTCAAATGTTAATGTTTTGATGGTGAGAAAGTAATTTTTTTCCAGTTCTCATTGTTCAGTGCATATTTCCTGACCAAAATTTTTTTTCGTATTTTATTTTATGGGTTCAGTTGGGATTGAACCTGGAAGTGCTTTACCACTAGTTCTTTTTACTTTTTGAGACAGGGTCTCACTAAGTTGCCACAGCTGCCCTCAATCTCATGATCCTCCTGTCTCAGTCTCCCAAGTCCCTGGGATTCTAGGCAAGCACCTTTGTGCCCTGCTTTTTTCATATTTTTAAAAAACAGACTTGAAATACTAGGGGGTATACAATAAAATACTTCATAACTTGGACTTCTCTTTTCAGTTTTCTACTGCTATTGAAGAATATAATTGTGCATTAACAGAGAAGAAATATGTCACTGCTGCTCAGCACCTGGAAGAGGTACTAAAAGCTTTCTGTAAAACATAACCAATTAGTGCTATCCTTGTTCTTGTATACGTTGTGTTCTGTGTATTCTTTATTATTATACAAATATACTCTTAATTTCTCTGAGTCCAGGTGGAGTATTTAACAATGCTTCCATTCCACTACCAGGCACAGAAATGTTTGAAGTTATTAAAATCCAGAAAATGCTTTGATTTAAAAATATTGAAATCTCTCAGCATGGAGCTCACAATACAGAAACAGAACATACTTTATCACCTTGGAGAAGAGTGGCAGAAGTTGATTGTATGGAAGTTCCCATCATCAAAAGGTGCTTCTGACTTCAGGTGGACTGCTTTGCTTAATCTGCCAGAACCAGTTTGAACTCTGAATATATTCTGAATATTTTGTATTGGAAGATGAAGTTTCAGTTATTAGTCCCCCAAGTCTATGTTGAAACCTTATGATAAACAAGGAGTCCCTGAAGTGCCCTCACTTTACTTTCCTTCCACCTTTTTTTCCCCTTTTGTAGGAAAGTGAGGATGGATGATTAGTGGTTAAGGTCTACATGGTAAGAGTGGGATGGAGAAGGAGGTAGTGGTTGAGACCATGTGAAGTTTCTTATAGCCTCATAGAATTTACCTAATTCAACAGAACTAATCCCAGCAGTTGTCTTAGATGGAAAGCTTAAGGAAACCATTTAGCCATTCTCTCTTGCTGAGGAAAGAAGGCAGGAGGGGCAGAGCAAGAGGGACTATTGGTAGAAGATGGGTTTGGCTCAGTTCTTTTTCAGTTCTTGGGGGAAATATGAGTATTTTGAAGGAAGTAATTTTGGAAAACAATTTTGGATTCTGCTTACAAGTAGGCTGAAGAGAAGATGGCAGGTGTGTTGGGCTTTTTGTCACAATATTACAACTTGTTTGGCAGGTGTATCTTTTTTTAGTTGTAGATGGAAACAGTAACTTTGTTTTTATAATTTTTTTGTAGTTATAGATGGACAGCATACCTTTATTTTATTTATTTTTATGTGGTGCTGAGGATCAAACCCAGTGCCTCACATGTGTGAGCCAAGTGCTTTGCCCCTGAGCTACAATCCTAGCCCAATAACTTTGTTTTATTTATTTATTTTTGTGTGGTGCTGAGGATCAAACCCATTGCTTCACAGGTGTGAGGCAGGTGCTTTGCCACTGAGCTACAACCCCAGCCCAGGCAGATATATCTCTTGTTAAAAAAAAGCACACAGAAACCAGGTGCAATGGCTCACACCTGTAATCCCAGTGGCTTGGGAGGCTGAGGCAGGAGGATCATGAGTTCAAAGCCAGCCACAGCAAAAGTGAAGTGCTAAGCAACTCAGTGAGACCCTGTCTCTAAATAAATTACAAAATAGGACTGGGGATGTGGTTCAGTGGTCAAGTGCCCCTGAGTTCAAGCCCTGGTACCAAAATAAAAGAACATAGAAAAGGAGGTCTATAGAACTAGGAACTCATTTTTTGTTCTTTGCTTTCAGTTTGTCATTCAGTATATATTTATTAAGCATTTCTTTTAGGCAGTCATCTTTTAGAATTAATTTGTTTCTCTGGACATACCAAAAAAACCATTTCCTGTTTTAAAGTGATGCCAGTGACATGCATGTCATAATTAATATTTGGTTGTATTAAAATATATTGTAATGAAACTACATGCTTAGAAATCTCAGTGGAAGATAGGCTCTGAGGAGTAGAAATGAGATCGTGTATTGCTCAAGCAGCTGATATTTTTTTCCCTTTATTCTTAGATACCAGCAGTTTAGAATCTTGCCTGCAAACAGAACTTCATTTGTGTACTGAACAATCCCCAAAAGAGAAGACCCTTATGCCATCCATGAGTTCTGTCTTGTTGGCATTTTCTATCCTTGGAGAACTACACACTAAGCTTAAATCATTCGGTAAAACATATGGTTTGTTTCATTCATATTAAAGGCACAGGAGGCCTAGTGTTAAAAGGATGACAAGATTATAAAGTATATTCTGGAGAATATTTATGACAGTATTTTGCCTCATGATTCATTAAAAGGAGAAAAAGGGCTTGTATCTTTTCTTTTTTCCTTTAGAAAAAACATAGTTTCTATTTACTTATTTTGTTTTTTAAAATCAGAAAATTTCAGTGGGAATACTTGTAGTGCACAAAGTCATAGTATATGTATTTTGGTTTTGAGAATGAACTATATAGATAATAGATTTTTTTTTTTTTGCATGTTTACTCTTTAGAAGTTTCCTCATGATTTTTGGTGAATATTCATATGATTTTTAGGTCAGATGCTGCTGAAGTATATCCTTAGGCCTTTGGCATCTTGCCCATCCCTTTATGCAGTGATAGAAAGCCAGCCTAATATAGTCATTGTTCGTTTCGAATCTCTCGTGACTGACTTGGAACATCCATCACCATCCGAAGTTTTTGAAAAGATCCGACTTGTGCTAGAAGTGCTTCAGAAACAGCTTCTAGGTATGTATCCCCAAAATAGTGCTTTTATACTTTGGAAAAACAAATATTGTTTTATAAAGTAAATATTATGTTATTTTAAAGTTGAAATGCCTGTAATGTGAATGAAGGGAGGATCAGAAGTAAGTGATGCTAAAGGAACAAAGTAATTACCCTCTTATTTCTTGCCTACTTTGCATTTCTTCCCTGCTCTATATTGACAAGTCTTGTCATCAGTGGTACCACCAAATTCTGTATTTGTAATTTAGTTAAATGCCAGGATCTAATTTTCTTACTGAACTTCTAGTAACATTACATTTTGGGAATCTTGCATTAATTACAGGAGGAGATATTAACTAAATGTTTTACAAGTTTCAGTGGGAAAATCCCATTAATCTGATGTAAACAAACAAACTGGGTTTAACATAAAAAATAAGTTACATTTCAGCTTAGCCTATTGGTTAGATGTTTATTCACATTAAGAATAACCAGTTTCTGTGTTGCTTTGAATCAGTTTATTTTATTTATCATCCTATTAGAAGTAAAGTTTTTTTTGGTGTTTTATTTTATTACTGTTGTTTTTTTTTTAAAATCAATTTGACTTATCTTCATTTTGCTTTTCTCATTGTCTTGTTGAATAGTTTAGCCAATGTTTTGACTTTGGAGAAAATTAAAAAGTACTGTAGCTGGGCATGGTGGCACATGCCTATAATCTCAGTGACTCTAGATGCTGAGGCAGCAGGATCATAAGTTTGAAGCCAGCCTGGGCAACTTAGTGAGACTCTATCTCAATATAAAAGGAGAAAATAAGTAAATAAATAAAAGGACTGGGGATGTGGGGATGTGGTGATGTGGGAGTGTGGCTCAGAGGTAGAATGCTCCTGTGTTTAACCCCAAGGTATGCGCGCACGCGCACACACAGACACACACACACACACACACACAAAATGCTATTGTTTTTAGGCTTTCCGGACACTCATATACTGTTTAGTTATATATATGTAATTCGTTTGTAAAGCAAGAAAGTCTTTGTATGGTTTATATTGTTGTTTTGCAATACTAGGGATTGAACCCAGAGACACTCTACCATTGAGAAAAATCTTTATCTTCACTCACCTTTTTTAAAAAAATTTGAGAATGTTCTTGTCATGGTGCCCAGGCTGGTCTCAAACTTGTAGTCCTCCTGCCTCAGACTTCTGAGTAGTGCCATCACACCTGGCTTCTTTTGTAAAGTTTTGTCAGGAAGAAATAAAAAAAAAAAAAAAAAAAATCCTAAGCCTTATATAAGCTGCAATAGTGCAAGGTAGTTTTCTTGTTCCTAGGTTTTTTACTTGGGGAAAAATGCAGTTTAAAATTTATTAGGCTGGTATGATAGTGCACATCTTTAATTCCAGTGACTCAAGAGGCTGGGACAGGAGAATTGCAAGTTTGAGGCCAACTTCAGCAATTTAATGAGACTCTCTCTCAAAAATAAAAAATTAAGTGTTGAGGATGTAGCTGAGTGGTGAAATGCCCCTGGGTTCATTCCCCTGGTACCATAAAACAAAAACAACGTTTTTTATTAGATATAAACAGAGTTTTAAAGCACCCCAGAATTGGAAAGAATCAGAGCTGATTAAATCCAGATATCTCTGATGCTTTACTCTCCTCTTTATCATTCCCTCAGTTGGTCTGATAGTACCCTGAGCATCTTTAGTGAGAGGAAGCTCACTTCCTTTTGAGGTATTCCATTCTGCTTTGGGGGCAACTCTGAGTACCTGGAAGTGTTCTGTTTTGTTTTTTAAAATCTGTACATCACCCATCTGTACTAAATACTATTACCCAAAGGCAAATTTAATTTTCAGGGTAGTTCTTTAAAAATTTGTTCAAAATATGTTTCCCTGCAGTATCTGCTTTACTGAATGTTATTTATTTTACATGGAACCATCCAGATCAGGTCTTATTCCTGTGATACAAGTTGGATTTTCATATTCTTTACAATACATTTACATATTATTACCAATATAAACATTTTTAGTTTTTTTTTTTAATTACATAGTTTTAAGTTGCCCTTATCATTATTTCTCTTCTGTTATTGGCAGGTTTAGTTTTTCCTAAAGCCTCTTTCCTTGTTTTGTGGCCTTCTAGCTGTGCCTCACATGACATTTTCTCAGTGTTCTCCCATCTCTGGTGTGTCTCTTCCTTATTAAGGACACCAGTAATATTGAATCAGGAATTTACCATAATGACCTAATTTAACCTTCATTACCTCTTTAAAGGCCCTAAACTCCAAATACTGTACATTGGGTGTTAGGACTTCAAAATATGAATTTTGTGGGGACAGTTCAGTCCTTGGAAAGTCTTTGTGTATTTATATATAAGTTGGAAAATTTACATATACTTTATTTATATATAATGTGATATCGGTAGCAAAACAAGTACATTGCCATTTTGTATTTTAGATTATTTGAGTGTTTGGCAAGCATTCCTTTTCTTTTAAGAAAATATTGAAGATAATAGTGCAATAAATCTTTCTAAATCTCTTGCAAACTTAACTAATGAGCATTAAAGAGTATAGGATCCATTATATTTTCTGTTTTCTGTTTCTTTCGACATTTCCTTAAACCAGGGATAACTTATAATCTTTGCATATTTATAAACTGAATGATTTTAACAGCTATATTTGTTACATGGTTCATATAGTCTGTTTCAGAATAAAACTTCCAACACAAATATTTATCATGCAGTGGAATGAAATAATAAGGAAATCATCAGTATCTTGTTTTAAGATTCCAGTAAATCTGGATTTTTTTTTTTAACCCAACATGGCACTGGAACACTGTTGTGATAGAAACTAATTTTTTCATGTCTAACTGAAATTTTTCTTTGACAAATGTGAAAGATTTAAAAAATATATGCCATAAGATTGATGTTGGCTGTGAATTGACAGCATTTCTCTGTATATTTGGAAGTCCTTTTAGACAAAGTGTATCTATAAAGTATTATCTAAAGCTAAAGAAAAGTATTTGCATTTTTTCACAAAGTGAATCAGTTGATCTTTGATATTGTTAGAAAGATCTTATGTTTTATGGGCAATATTTTATGCTGGCTTAATTAAAAATCTTTCATGCCGGGCATGGTGGCGCACACCTGAGGCAGGAGGATCACGAGTTCAAAGCCAGCCTCAACAAAAGTGAGGTACTAAGCAACTCAGTGGGATCTGTCTCTAAATAAAATACAAAATGGGGCTGGGGATGTAGCCCAGTGGTTGAGTGCCCCCAGCTTCAATCCCTGGTATTCCCCCCCGCAAAAAAATCTTAGGTTTTATTTGGAGGTGCTGGGGATTGAATCCAGGGCCTTGTGCATGTGAGACAAGCACTTTTATCAATTGAGCTATATCCCTAGCCCCTCTTTCACATGTTTGAAAATATATTTTCCTCATAATTAATGAAGAAAACTTAAATAATAGTTTCTTTTGTCATTTCTTCATCTGAAAATTATTTTCATTTGGCATAAGAATCCAAGTCGTTTTGTAACTGGCCAAAGTTAAAAAGTTTAGATCTTGGTAAAAATCACATTTTTTTTGTTGATCCTTATGATTTTAAATGACTAATTTTACTGAAAATGTTCCTTAAGATTGTTCACTTTAAGCCAAGCATGAGGGTGTACAGCTCTAATCGTAGTGGGTTGGGGGCTGAGGCAAGAGGATCACAAGTTTAAGGCCAGCCTAAGCAACTTAGTGGAAAAGTAAAAAGGGCTGGGGCTGGGGCCTGGGGATGTGGCTCAAGCGGTAGTGCACTCGCCTGGCATGCGTGCGGCCCGGGTTCGATCCTCAGCACCACATACAAAGATGTTGTGTCCGCCGAAAACTAAAAAATAAATATTAAAAAATTCTCTCTCACACTCTCTCTTTAAAAAAAAAAAAAAGGGGCTGGGGATGTAGCTCAGTGGTAAAGTGCTCCCAGGTTCAAGCCCCAGTACTAAAAAGAAAGAAAAAAAAGGTTACAGACTATACCATTACTACAAGGCTCCCTGTTCCATTTGAAAACTTGAATTTAAATTAATTAAAGTTGTTTAAAAAAATTAGTTCCTCAGTAATATTAGCCATATTTCAAGTGCTCAGTAGCAAATTTTGACTGGTTATTAGTGTATTGGACAGTATAGGCCTAAACTTTAGATATAACAAAGTATTGAAGGTAATATGGTCATCTTCTAAGATTTTTATTTCTTAAGGTCTTTCTTGACAAGTCAGAACTAGATCCAAAATACCTGGTCCCATTTATTGTTCCTCTGCCTTTTGTATTGGCTCAACAGCCAATATTCTTAAGTATTATTTATTATTTTTCGGTTCTGGGGATTGGATTCAGGGGTACTTAACCACTGAGCCATATCCCCAGTCCTTTTTATTTTTCATTTTGAGACAGAGTCTTGCTAAGTTGCTTAGGGCCTCACTAAGTTGCTGAGGCTGGTCTCAAACTTGCAATCTTCCTGCCTCAGCCTCTTGAGTTGCTAGGATTGTAGATGTGCACCACCACACCTGGCAATTAATAGGATATTTTAAATATAACCTTTTCAAAATGTGTTGGATAACACTACCATGAGATAATTATAGAGGAGGCATTGAAATATGTTTAGTAGACTAGATGTAACTTTAAAGTATTTGTTGATAATTTATTTAAGATAAACAGATCCTATGCAGAGATGAAAAAGTATGTTTATTCATTAGTAAAGTGGGATTTTACTCTAGTTTTAATTTTTGAGTGCAGATCTTCTGTTTGTCATATAATCAGATCAGAAGCTTAAAAGTAGGTGATTATAATGTAGATGGCTTGTACCTTTTTAAAGAGTATAAGCAGTGATTTAGTATACAAAATTCAGTTGAGCTGTGAAAATAAAAATCATTGTATGTCATGTATTGTACAACATAGTTGAGATGGCATAGAGTTATCTGGACTATTTTCTTTCCCATCATCTTAAAATGAAAGATTTCTGGAAAACTAGGCAGCTTAAGAATATCTGAGGATTGTAAATGGTTTCTCATTTAAAACCTTTGTTTTTTGAATTTAGATTTGCCTCTTGACACTGACTTAGAAATTGAAAAACCATCTACGATCATATTGGCTGAGATGCTTGGTGATGTAATCTGGGAGGATTTGTCTGACTGTCTCATCAAAAACTGCTTGGTTTATTCTATTCCAACAAATAGCAGCAAGCTACAGCAATATGAAGAGGTAAAGAGCAGAGATATTATAGAAGGTTTTGGGACACTATTGATTGTTGTTGGCTTTGTTTTTATTTTCAGATCTTTTGTTCTTTGGTTATATCTTGAAAAAAATTATAAATACAGAGTAGAAACAAATTTTCTATAACTCCATTTCTTTTCTGACTTCTTGCCTCTTTGAGGAAGTATGTTTTCTTATTTAAATGTATTTTTAAAGTTTTTTTTAATACTTGTATCAATTATAGTAGGTTTTGTGTGACACTTGTTGGCTTGTTTTTAGTGTTTCCCTGAATTAAAAAAGGTATATTTATTTTAAAGATTTTTGCACCTTTACCAGAGTCAAATTTCTGTTGAAGATATTCTTCCTAATAGATTTAAGACTGGAAAACTATATATTTTTAAACGTGGTGACTGATGGTTTGCTTTAAGACCTAAATGACCATTTGGTTCTTACTTTTTCTGTGTGTTGGGTTTGAAATTTTAACATTGAAATGGAATATTTGTACAGTTGACTCTTTGTGTCTGTGGTTTATGCATCCCTGGATTCAACCAACTACAGATCGAAAATGTTTGGAAAAAATTTTGATTGCTACTGAATATTTACAAACTTTTCTTCTTGTTATTATTCCCTAAATACAGTATAGCAGTTATTTACATAGCATTTATATTGTATTGTTGTAAGTAATCTAGAGATGACTTAAAGTATACAGGAGGATGTGTGTGGGTTATATGCAAATACTGTTCCCTTTTTATATATGGGACTTTAATGTCAACAGAATTTAGTATCTGATAAGGGTCCTGGAACCAATCTCCCACACATACTGAGGGATGACTACATATAATTCTTTTCTTTTTCTTATGTTTTCTTCTTCCAGATCATACAATCCACTGAAGAATTTGAAAATGCCCTAAAGGAGATGAGATTTTTAAAAGGAGATACTACTGATTTGCTGAAATATGCTCGTAATATCAATTCTCATTTTGCTAACAAAAAGTGCCAGGATGTGATTGTGGCAGCTAGAAACCTAATGACATCTGAAATCCACAACACTGTGAAGGTACCAGGGTTGTACTACATTATATTTAGGAATCAGCTCATTTTTGAGACATGTGTGGTAATGTGGAAGAGAGTAAGTATGATAGTTGCTGGGCTTATGGAGGAAAATTATTAATCTTTTGAGTGTGAGTTTTATTCTCTTTAAAATAGTCCTGATATCAACTTCTTTTTTTTTTTTTTATAATTTGAAAGGAATCATTTATTGAACATTTTTTAAAATTTGAAATTAATGTACATTTGATTTTAAAAATTTTGCATTAGATTACCACAGATTTACATACAACCATAAACTGAAAAAAATACAAGAAAGTTTCTATGTGATACTAACAAAGAAACTCTTTCCTTTATTGTAAGAAAATAAACTTTCAGAAGCTAAAGCTAGCTTTTCAGTCGTGCAAAATACTAACACTTTAAGCAGAAAGTTTTATTTTTAAGAGAAAGTAACATTTTTCTATATTTGACCTATATTTTAATTCTTTCCAGTAGAACCAAAACCTCCTGAATCCCTTTCAGTGTCATTCAACACTTGAACTTCTTCTATATCTGGATAAAAAATCCGTTCACAAATGAGCTGTGCTATTCGATCACCTTTTTTTACTTCAAACTTCTCTTTGCCAAAATTAAATAACACAACACCAATATTTCCTCTATAATCTTCATCTATGACACCAGCTCCTACATCTATGAAGTATTTTGCAGCCAGGCCAGAACGTGGAGCTATTCTTCCATAGCACCCAGAAGGAAGAGCTATCTGAATGTCTGTTTTCACAAGGGCTTTCTCCATAGGTGGTACTATATAATCATAGGCACTGTACAGGTCATAGCCTGCGGCCCGCGCGGACCCCCGGGTCGGGGCCGTGGCGTGCTCCGATAGTCGAACAAAGCGGAGCCGCAAGCCGCCATC